TGAACCTCTTCTATGGTCTCGAGTTTTCTCTAAGAAAGTTTCTGTTTTTAACCCAACTGCATCCCCAGCGCATCATGGCGCTACAATCATAATGATGTGTTCAGGGTTCCGCACAGTAATACGTTTTTTCATAGTTTTTGTGCAGGTGTGCCAAAACCTTTTCGCCCCCATCTGAGTTTTGAATCCCTGCTGCACCTCCAGATTGGAATGCTTCTTTGTGTGAGGATTTATTTGTCCAGTAGAACAGAACAAATGTATTTCTAATAAAATTAAATAACATTTTTCAGGGATGCTCTTAATATATTTGGTTTGATTGAATTTATTCAGGGCTTTCGTGGTGGAATGTGGTAAATAAAATTCAATGCCAAGTTTTTTTTATAGAAAGAGATTTATAGAAAGAGTACTACTATTCTGTGTTGATCAACCATTTAAAATCCTTATAAAATTATCCAATTTGAGGCTTTAAGGTGTGAAGTTCTAGAGTTTTTAAGAGTTTTACAGACTGATCAGACAGACCTCTGTTTCACTCAAAGGCAAATTAAGTGATTTAATCGCATAGCTTTGCTTTTTCTTCTTCTTTTACTCAGGCATGGATCCTTCATCCACTGGGAACCCGCCTGCACCGGAGCTTAACCCCTCCTCTCCATCTTCCTCGAGGTCTAGAACTTCCTCTCTTGGTTCATCTGTGAGCTCCTCTACCCATGAGCCACAGAGACATAAAGTCACACTACCAACGCCTCCCACCACTCCATCATCTCCTCCATCCACCGCCTCACCTGTGATACCTCAAAGGCTTCATTCTCGTTCTTCCTCTCTCTCTTCAACCCCATCCTCATTTCCCCGCCAGCCCACCAGAAGCTTTTCGCAGCCGGGCCGATCGCAGTTGAACGCAGCCTCAACAACAGGGAGTCTTCTAAATGGATCAACAGCTGCTGCTGCGCCTCCATCAGCTACCTCACCTGAACCAGGTAATATTGACCTTTGAGCCCAAACACAGGCTCCATAGCTTAGTTTCACTTTGCACTTGTTCTACAATCAGTGCAGCCAACTCTCCCAGGTACTGTAGCGTCTCCATAACCAACAGAAATGCAAAGTAGCTCCACCCTTTCTACTCTCTTCAGGTTTTTTCTGCTTTGTTTTGTTCTCTGCTGTCTGGTTGTCAAGTAGACATTAAATGCGTGCAGTGTTGCTAGTCTTTGCAATGATATAAAGATGAGTAACTTTACATGAAAATGTAAAACAGGAGCTTTTATTTGTGAAAATATCAATTTCCAATATAAACCTATGACATTAGCCTTGGATGTTTGGTAAAGGCAGCAGCCCTTTACTGTATGAAAACTACCGGTTATTTTTGGGTTCAGATTGAGTGTGAAAGTCTGAGCAGAGTACCAGGATAACAGCAGTGGACACCAGACACTTGTTACTAGATATCCTCAGTATTTTCTGAGACCACTGTTCCTCTCACCAGCATCCCCTTCAACCCCTCTGGAAAGGTCAGTTCATGGAAAGATTGAGAGTAACATTTTATTTGATCAGATATAGTGTACGGTTGAGCTGTAGCTCCTACTGAGAACAGGGGATGGTAGCGATTAGGTCAGTGATTGACTGAGGAGGATAGTGAGAACAAAATAAGGTTAATAAAGGTCAAAGCTGATTCTGACAGGATAGTGTTTGTAACTTGGGTCCACATTCTTCTAATTTCCTTCAATTAAAAAAAAAAAAATACTGATCAGCTCTGTTGTTTCTTGGGGGGAAAAAAAGCTTAGCAACAGCATGATGCTTTTTTAGGGATATTCAGTGTTAATGTTGCATAAAATAAACTAGCATGACGACCTAAAAAATCCATTTTGGTTTCCTCACACCGGAGCAGCTGCTTGCAGACCTGGGCTGGCCGTTTGGTGTACAGGTCATATATACCCAGTGTTCCGACGTCTATGTTTGGGCCAAAACATGGCTCTTATAATGTAATCAAAAATTGATTTATTATTAATTACTTAATATGTGGATCAATATTACATATATTATCAATTAAGAAAATTCTAATAAATTTTCCCTTACCTCTGACAAATAGTATTCTTATACTCAATTCATTGCTTTCCCGATATATTTCTTTTTGGAATCTACTAGATGTATGCATGCATCTTATGGTGTCCCCATTAAATTTAACTAATCATGGTGGCCCCCCATGACCTGGGATGTTTTTTTTGCTTTGTTTTTTTTTACCCAGCCCAGCCTTCTTCCTCATACTTTCTGTGTTTTTGTGACATTTTAATCCCATCTTCTCTTTGCTTTGACTCGGAACTGGGACTGGGCAGTAAGTGGGCCCTCAGGCAGCTTCTGTTCTTGTTGTTGTAGGTGGTCAGCCTCATCTTGATTGGTTTGTTTTTATATAGTACAGGAACTGTGAGCTGATTAAAGGGATATTGGGATATTGTTTTAAACAACTTAACCCCTGAACCTGTCTGCTGTGTTCCTTGTTCCTCATGATATTCTCTAACAAACTTCATAGAACAGCTTATATTACATTTTAATGACAACAATTAGGTAACCTCTGAAGTTAAATATCTGCAGCGGATTTTTATTTTGTGGGTTTAGAGTAAAGGGGCTTGAATGGAAAGTTACCACAACAAAATACACAAAAGTTTGTAGTTAAGACCTTTCAAAAGCAACAGAAACAACTTTTTATTACTCTTCAAAAGTATCATATTGTTAAGACCCATAAAAGCTCTTTAAACTGATTTTTGTTGTTGTTGTTTTTTTTTTTTCAGATGAAACGGAGGAGGAAGTCCGTTTGGAGGTTTTGGAGGAGAGGGCAAAGTCAGGTGATGCTAAAGCACAAACAAAGGTCAGTGAACATCCAGCAGAAATGGTTGACCATATGTTGGAAACAGCAGACCAGCTGAGTCAATATAAATGATGGTTATTCAGGGTCGGTGTGTCAATAAGCCACAGTGGTGCTTGTTTTGCAAATTTAAAACTTCGAACATAAATGTGTGTGTCCAGATGGGACGTTACTTTTTGGCCTTGGCAGAAGAAAGCAACGAGGAGCTGAACAACTGCACAGCAGTCACCTGGCTGGTCCAGGCTGCTAAGCAGGGCCGCAAAGATGCCGTCAAACTGCTGCAGCAGTGCTTGAAATCCAGGAAAGGTGACCGAAAAATCTAAGCTTCCCTCAACCTGCGACTGCAGACGTTTGATCAAGTATAGCTTCTTTTCTTTTTTTTCTTTTTTTAAATGCTGGTAATGTTCTCTGTTCTGCAGGGATTACCTTGGAGAACTTTGAGGAGGTTAAGAAGTTGTGCACAGAGACACGTTTTGAGAGGGGAGTCAGGAAAGCAGCTCTGCTCATGTACTACAAGCTCAACCCTGAGAAGAAGAAGTCTGTGGCGGTGTCTGAGTTGCTGGAGAATGTGGAGCATGTTCACATAGAACCAGGTGCTGAAAGGAAAAGCCATGTTCTCTGCTTTACCATGATTCATTTCTTCTATGACTTACTAGTATCTTCTGTTTCAGGCAAACCAATCTGCTCAGGCCCACTCAACAGCTCCACCAAGAAGCAAAGGAGAGTCCTGGAGACTATGGTCTCCAGAGAAGGTACGCATGTTTTTTCTTACACAGTAATCCCACATCCTCCGTAAACGCCCCGCTCCGCTCCAAAACAAAGCCTACAGCCTCCGCGGTTCCTCCCGTCTTGCTCCTCTCCAACTTCCTTGGAGCTCGAGGAGAGCATACGTGATATTATTATTTAATTCATAGGAACAAAACATGCGATAATGAATGCTAAATTTAATATGACATAATTAAAACTCATCATCAGCATCAATAACACACATTTCTGCCCAAACATTATCTTTTCATTTTGGGTCTTTTTAATACGGATAACTAGGATCATACAAAATTGGTTTGTTCTCTACTTCAAAACTCAGCATCTCTTCATTCATGCCTGGAATAAAAAGTTAGTTTTTTTAGTTGTCAGATACGTTCTTAGAAGTTGTTGTGACTGGATTTGATGAAACTTTTAAGCCTCTGAGTATAATATAAATATTTTTCATTGAGATGAGAAATCGGCTTGCTGGTATGTTGAAGTATGAATGGTTTGCGTCCAAAAATTTTATGAAACGGTCTTAGTTTTTGGGAATATATAAGAATTATGCTCTTAACTTGTATTTACCAATATAATATATAATAATATAATATATTCACCATATATTAATTTGACAAATTAGATCTTTTCGACTTTATTTTTCCTGTTTGGTGCGATTGCAATTGCGGATCCTGAACTGGTTGGATTCCAACCGACCGTATTGGAGCAAAAAATAGCTTGGCTCCGTATTTTGACGGTGAAGGACAGAGAAGAGGTACGTGGACGCTGACGTGCAGAGGAGTAGTGTTGGGTGGAACAGGTCTCATTGATTACCATTACTGCTTAAGTGTAGCCCATGACGTACGTGAGCGGAGCGGGGACAGAAGATGTGGAATCTGGGAGTTAGAATATTTGATATGACGCATGATTACTTTTTAACATTTCGCACAAAGGGTAATCACATTTTATTTTATCTTGAGATAAGTAGCTTGATTGTTTTTGGCTTTTCTTTGCAGGCAATTCTCATGTTGGTCTTGATGATTTTGTTGAGATGACTAAGAAATATGCTCAGGGTGTTGCACCGTCACCGTTCATGGCCTCAGCGGACGATGATGATGATGATTACGACGATGTGGTGGTAAAAAACCCAGATGAACTGCCACTGCATCAGAAGGTAAGACAATTGTTTGTTTAGTTATTTATCTATCTATTAAGCTTTAACATTTTGCTATAGATTTAACAGTTTAGATACACTTTAAATATAAATAATATTAGCTATAAATGGAAAGGTAATTCCAAGCTGACTTCCTCTGATTTTCTTGTGCTTCTCTCAGATGCTAAAGTTCCCGCTTCACGCTCTTCTGGAAATAAAGGAGCATCTCATCGACTGGGCGTCGCGGGCCGGCATGCAGTGGCTTAGCGCCCTCATCCCCACTCACCACGTTAACGCACTGGTCTTCTTCTTCATCATCTCTAACCTCACCATCGAGTTTTTCATCTTCCTCATCCCTCTGCTGGTTTTCTACCTGTCCTTCTTCTCCATGGTGATCTGCACTCTGCGGGTGTTTCAGGTTGGTTAGAGATTGCTGTCTCAAATCGTTGCTTTGGTCACAGTCACTCCACGGGCTCGGAGGAAAGGATGGAGAAATTATGAATTATTATTTTTGTTTTTTTCTAGAATTCAAAGGCGTGGGAAAATTTCCGAGCTCTCACAGACCTGCTGGCTCAGTTTGAGCCTGGTCTGGATCTGGAGCAGGCAGAGACCAACTTTGGATGGACACATTTAGAACCTTACCTGTAAGATTACCTCTGTTTACTAGTTCCTTTTTTTATTTATTCTGTCATCATGTGCTTGGATGCCATGTTATGTTGGGTCTTTAAATTTTTTTTTTTTTGTTTCTTTTAGAGAACTATTATTTGTTTTGGTAAAACCAGTTTCAGTTTGTTGATAGTCAGCTTTTAAGTGCTATCGAAACATTATTGGTTGTTTAGATGGGAATATTCCAAACTCATATTCCTCTCTGTGTCTACGCTTCAGCCCTCTTACTGTTGAGCCCTTCTGTTGTGGAATGCAATCAACAATTTGAGCTTAATACTCCCACATCATGATACCGCCACTATCATGCTTTTGGGTCTGCAAGTTTTCTCATGACCTCTTTATATTCTTTGTCGTCATTGCAACTGACTTTGTCTCATCTGGCTTTAAAAAAATGTTGGCTTAATTGATTTCAGCTGCAGATCTTGCTGGTGTCTTCTGCTCAGACTTAATTGCCTTCCAGTTTTTTTCAACATGTTAAATCTGTGCCTGGGACAGAAGCTCTTGGATGGCTGCAGGATGTTTGTGGTCCAGGTGCAACATGCTGAGACGAATATAACCCAATATTATTTAGTGCTAGGCGAGTATTTGTCATTTGAGATGAGGTCAAATCAACTAATTAGTTTAAACCTGTGTAGTGCACGCATGTTTGCAGAAATCCATTAGATTCTGTGACAAATCATTATCTATCAGCCTAGTTTAGATTTGTCTTTAAAGGATCTACATGCATGCATTCCCATTTTAAGAGTACACCCAGATTTAAAAATGTGGTTCCTGTTTCCTCTTAGGTACTTCCTCCTCTCTGTGGTCTTTGTCGTGTTCTCCTTCCCGGTGGCCGATAAATCCTGGATCCCGTGCTCAGAACTAGCTGCCGTGGCTCTCTTCTTCACCATCACTGCCTTCCTCAGCCTCCACGCCTCAGCTCAGCTGTTTGCTCGTAAAGCCCTTCTCACAGAGGTCCTCTCCGGAGCGTGCTCCCTCACTCAGCACCTGCCTGCCTCCCTCTGGTCCCTCCGGATCTTTGGGACCACCTTCATCACCGTGCCTCTCGGGGACGCTGTGGCGTTAAACCTGGGCGTGCCGTGCCTTTTATACGGACACCTCGTCTATCTTCTCTTCCGTATGGCCCAGCTGAGAGGCTTTAAGGGTACCTACCTGTGCCTTGTGCCCTACTTGGTTTGCTTTACCTGGTGTGAGCTCTGCTTGGTGTTTCTCAATAACGCCACAGCTATAGGACTCATTCGGACCTGCGTGGGCTATCTCCTCTTCCTTTTTGCCCTTCCTGTCCTCTCACTGGGTCTGGCTGCCATGATTATGATCCAGTTAGTGCAGTGGTTTCTCACCCTGGAGGTAACAAAGATGGTGGTCACACTGATCGTCTGCTTTGTGCCAGTGGTGTTGAGGCTTTGGACTCGCTTCAGCCTCAACCCCATTGTTGTCTTTAGGTCTTTGTCACGGAGCAGCATCGTAAAGCTCATCCTGGTGTGGCTGAGTGCAGTGGTGCTTTTCTGCTGGATGTACGTCTACAGATCTGAAGGAATGAAGGTGTATAACTCCACCCTGACGTGGCCTGAATATAGCAACCTCTGCGGGCCGCTGGCCTGGAAGGAGTCCAACATGGCCCAAACTCAGATTCTCTGCTCTCACCTGGAAGGACACAGGGTCACCTGGACGGGACGCTTCAAATACGTCCGTGTGACGGATATTGAGAATGGGCCCCAGTCAGTAATCAACCTGCTGCCTGTTTTTCTAGGAAACTGGATGCGCTGTCTGTACGGAGAACCTTATCCGTTGTGTGAAGATAAGAACAAAAGTGGCGGCAATGAACCCCAACCGCGGCCGGCTCCGGCTCCTCCCTCCGTAGATCCGCTCTGCAAGCTAAAGACTCTGGCAAAACACGAGTGCCACGTCAAACGCTTTGACCGCTACAAGTTTGAGGTCACCCTGGGCATGCCGCTAGAGAGGAAGACTAAAGACGGGACAATCATAGAGGACGAAGATGCCACCAAGGACATCGTTTTGCGGGCGAGCAACGAGTTCAAGTCTGTGCTTTTACACCTGAACGCCGGCAGCCTAGTGGAGTTCAGCACCATCCTGGAGGGACGTTTAGGCTCCAAATGGCCCGTGTTTGAAATGAAGGCTATCCACTGCATGTCCTGCGGGGACGCCCGCACTCTCGGCCGCAAGCAGTACAAGATCGAGCACGACTGGAGGCGCACGGCTCAGAACGCCCTCCAGTTTGGGTTCGACTTCTTCTTCAACCCCTTCCTGACCGCTCGGCTGGAAGAGCAGACAGAGACTGAAACAGAAAGCGTGGAGCAGGATGGATAGAGATAGCTAAGAACACTAATGGTTATACAACAATGTTCTTAATAGTGGTGACTGACTACAGGAGACTAAACAGATCCTCAGGCGTTCACTGTTTCTTCTAAAAGCACTCGTACTCCTCAGACCTTTTCACGCTGCTTACATTACAACCACAATACTCAGCGTATCAGCAGCTGCAGACCTATTGGGGATTTACACTGCCTGATTAGGAATATCCGTTAACATCGATTGAAACTCAGTATCTGAGCTATTTTAGGTTTGGGTTGTTCTGGCAGAAAAAGGTCGCTTTTTTTGGTGTTTATGGGTGAAACTCTGCCACAGCCTTAAGTCTTTTAAAGAAAATATTTTCATCTTCCACCAATTAATCCCCACAGCATCATGACAGTGTTTTCAGGGTTATGAGCAGCATTAGCTTTAATTACGAATTTCTGGAAGAAATAGTTTACTCTGCATCAGAGTAAAAGTTGAGGAACAAAATGTTTGTAACTCGCTTTCTAACTATGCCCCATTTCTGTAGGTTTATCACATAAAATCTGGTGCAAATGTTGCTGGTTGTAATGTGACGGGCTGTAGAAGGATCACTGGGGTGTGAATACTTTTATAAGGCACACTTTATCTGGAAATACATGTTTGAGTTCTTAAAGCTTTTGAGCCAAAACATAAAGGTGACGACAGAGAGAGAGAATAAACACCAAGTAATTAGGATTTACTGCCTGCTGCTACTACTCTCCTGAGTTATGTAGAAACATTTCATCGAGTTTAAGCTGTATGTGTGCTGACCTTTGGGGTCCATTTAGTAAAAATGTTTTTTTTTTTTTTCCATTCATACAGTTTCCCATCAAACCCGTCTAAAATCTGGGCTAAACTCTTCAGTTTTAAGTTTCTCTGGCTTTCACTTTGAAAGACTCTGTTATTGTTTATCCAATGAAGGATTTACCGTTTGAAGGATTTCCAATCAACACTAAATGATTTAACTTTGCTGACTATAGGGTAAATACAGTACCTTTTTGGGGGGATTAAATCTCTGATTCTTCACTTGAAATGTGTCTAAATACAGTGGTGGGAAAAGGCTTCTTTACAGATTTCCTCTTTTCAATGAATATATGTTTCAAACAAACAATTTTTAATGTTCTCTCTTTTTATTTAGCTAGCCTAATTAGATACAAAAACAGCTTTCAAACTAGAAAAGAACTTGGCGAGCGCAGACTTGCGCCATGCAGCCAATTTGCCCCATATTGTGACTTACCCCTATAGCTAGGTTCCTTAGTTCCTTGGCATGGGGCACACATCTGGTTAAAAAAAAAAGTCCATAAGATCTGTTCATAAGTCTACTAACAAACCAACAACGTTCTTTTTTTTTTTTTTTCTCATGTTTTTGTCTTCAGTAAAATACCTCCAGACTTTTTGAGTCCGATGCTGATGCTGTCAATAGTCACTGCTGCCACCCTCTGGTTTAGTGGTGAACTGCAAATACCCCTGTCTCACAATGTTATGGAATCTTTTTTTTAAATCCTGTATCCAGATTATGATCTGGATCATCACCAACATTTAATGGATTTTTCCTTGCCACAAGGGACACCATAACTTTTCAGTTTACCCTGTACACAGACAGACAGGCACTTTATTGAAGGGTTTTCTGGTATCATTAACATTATAAAGTCCTGCTACAGTATCTGAAAGGGGAATAAAGTCCAGATTTCAGCTAAGCCTTTAAAAACAGTTCTGCTGTCGTTCAGTCATTCAAAGGTGGTATTTATTCTGAAATTTTGCTGATTGCTACAGAACCAGAGTGGGACAAATGGCTACATGTTTCTGCAGAATTTTCCAGTAGAGAAAAAAAATACATTCTTCCATCAATTGCAGGCTTTCCAGGTCTCCCCAAAGCACCATGTTCCTCCAGTATGTGCGACCAGTACTTGCTGGTCTGTTTCTGAATACGGGTCATTACAGATCAGCAGTGGTTTTGGTTTCTTCTTTCCTCCCACTATCTTCTTTTTTTTTCCTTTTGTCAAATCATGATCTTAGCTAAGTCATGTGAGGCCTGCACAGCTTTAGCCAAATCAGCAATCTGCTACTGGAGTGATTTAGGTCGACCTGCCTATCCTGGGAACCTAACCTATATTATATATTTTCTTCAGTATTTGATTATGAAATTCACTTTTGGTCCTTTTTGCATCCCAAAGTTTTCAAAATGGCTCCATAAGCCTCTTCAAACGGATAATCATCAATTACTAGTTAATGCTTTTGAAATTGTTTTGGATGTGTTGTTTTTTTTTGTTTTGTCTTAAATATTTAATCTACTTGGGAGGTTTAACTTTAATTATATCAACAGATCATAGAAGCTCTGCTTTCTAAGCTTTGGTTTAATGGCAGTTTGTGATTTTTAAACAGGGGAGCAGCTACTTTTTCATATAGAAGATCAGCTTGGATAGCTTTTTTCACCCCCAATGAATGTAATAAATCTTCATTTGGAAAAAAAAAAAGTTAAATTTACTCATGTTAGATATTTTTCTAATATTAAAAATGGTTTGATGATCTGAAACATTTTAGTGTGGCATAAAAGCAAAAATAAGAAAAGTGGCCTTGTTGCTTCCTCCTCTGTTTGTTTGTGTCTCTGCTGTGCAGAGATTTAATAAACTGAATATTTAGCCCCTGACTGAGGGTGTGTCTTGGATGTCACTGCTGTTTTCTGTACTGTGACCCTTGAATATGTGGAAACTCTAGTTTTTGGATGTGTTTATTAAAAACTGTTTAGTCGAGCCAGTTTTGACAAACTTTCCATTTGATTTTGTGTAGATGAACCTAGAGTAAAAGGCTTATCTTTTTTCTCTTTTTATCTATAAAAGCTCAAAGCCACACAATATTTCAAACTCTACCACTTAATATCTGTTTTTTTTTCTTTTTATTTAGCAGGTTTGAATTGTATTTATGTTGTAAAATAAAGACAAAATGTGCCTCATATGCTCTTTTGATTTTCCTCAGGTAAACAAGGGAATAATATTTTAGAGACGTGGTGAATCTCGTCAGCATACAAACACACACACACGTTAAAAAAACTGGTTTTCATAACTTTTTAAAAGGAAACAATATGTGACATATAAGCCCCAAAATTCAATTAGATCAGCTTTGGGGTAAAATGTAAAAATCTGACATTTCCTACAAAGAGATACATTCAACAAGAAACACTGTCATTGCAGATGTTGATTTACTTTGGTGGGATTCCTTTAAATCACATTTTGGACTTAAACAGATTTATTTTGTATACGCGAGTGTAAACAAAAATAAATTTAGTTTAAAACAGCTGTAGACAATTTCATTTTTTTCTATTGCAGCCTTGAAAACGGTAATAAATACATAAAAACTAGTAATATAAGAGTAATATACTGTATATTTACGGTTCTTACATTTTGACTTTACAATATTTACCCTTCCTTCATATTCTGTTAGATCTGGTGGGTGTTAGATGCCCCTTTCTGTGCTTCTCACATTTCCTCTGATGAGGCCATTGTTTTCCTAATTTAGCTGTATAGAATAAAATAATCAACTTGACCTTTTTAGCCATCAGCTGGTTAGATGATGGCTAAACTGATTGGTGTAGGTAGGAAAGTTTTTGTGGTTTGAAAATTTGGTTCTCAGTGGGAAAAAAAGTAAGCCCAAAGCATGATGCTTCCACTTCCGTGTTTTTCTGTAGTTCTGGTTGTGTTTTAAAAATGATGAACATACTGTATTGAACTGAAGGGGATAGATGATATTTTATCACATCCTCCCACAGGGTTTTGGGAGATTTTAGGTTGGCAAGAAGCATCTGGTCTTTGTCCAAATATTTAGTGATTGCAGGACATTGGTGTCACATGCAAAGAGAGTGACACTACTCACCCCTTATGATCCTTTAGTTGGCCTCTTGGAAACCTCCCTAACAACTATCCATCTTGTTGGTTCCTTTTTTGCACAAACATCCAGTTTTTATAATACTGTTATTTTTTTTTTCCATCTTTTTGATTAACATCTTAACAAATAGTTTTTCTTTGTATCTTAGTGCTCACTGATACCTTAGCAACGGTATTTATATATTCTGTAAGATCTCTGCACACTTTGGTTAAATGCTGAAAGAGCACAAACGTCAGGAAAAAATGCTCATATTCCTCTTGGGTTGATAGGGTTTAATAACTTATGGCAGGCCTGAACACAAGAATGTTGAAATTGAGTCATAAATGTAAGTAATTTCATGGTGTGAACACTTTTTTTTACTAACAGTTGTTTTGTTGATATAGTTGAAATATGTAAATAAATGGGGAAAATGTTTTTAAGACATTTCACTGTCGGACAAACCACAGAATTCAGCAGTTTGTCAAAAATCACTTAGTTTATATCTATGTTTCGGTGAAACGAATAAATGAGCCATTAATGTTACAAGTCGATTGAGATTTTAAAAGTTTAACCATGTGATTTTAAAATGACATGTAGTATTGATATTTAGCCACTAGGTGGCGCTTGAGTCAGAAACAGAAGTCATAGCCATGTCCTCATTGGGTGCAATTTTCTTGAATCCTTTATTGAAAAAAGAGAAAGAAACATATTAACATTATTTATAACTGTCCATTTGACAATCATTTTGTTGACATATATTTAGACAAAAATATGTGAATCAAATGTCTTTGTTAAAGACAAGGAGGACAACCTAGACATGTTCCAAATAAAGAAGCATCCGTCTTTTAAAAAATAAAAACTGCACATCCAAAAAGTAATCAGTGAGGAAGGCTGAGGCGATTTAAGTACCATCACTCCGCTGTAACACTGGAGGCAAGTCTGCAGTTGGTTTACAGACAAAACAAAACCTCATGTCAGAAACAGAGCTTTTATATACAGACACCACTGAGGCCGCTTTCACATTTATTGTTTTTTTTTTTATTAAGGTTTATCATTAAATCTGAAACATTCCCCATTATTCTTCGTTCTCAGTTTTTGACGGATTTGTCGACAACTTTATTCAGAATGGACGTGTACAAACCGAACATGCTTCAGCATCTGTGGACACTAAGAGGTCATCGGTCATCTACGGTGGCTCGTGCTGCTGCGAGGGGCCCCCCGTCAGGGCCCCCGAAGCCTTTCTATAGCTAGGTCTAAATGTTTAAAGAAGGCAGCCAAGTCAGTCAGACAGACAGTTTATAAAATAAATTTGTTGGACATGCAGCATCTTTTTGCTTGATTGTTGCAAATACTTCTTCACTTTTTTTGTACTTTTTTTTTTTTTTTTTTTTTTTTTTTTTGCTTTATTTGAGTTAAATGTATTCAGTGTTGAAGCAGCAGCAGCACAAAACAGCCCTGGATCAGAAGAAGAAAACACAAACGAGTATGTTTAGACATGTTTTGGCTAA